GTTGATAGCTTGTGCTTCTTTGGCTATTTAATTCTATCAATTGTCTCCAATCATGTAACTGTTTCTATGGATGAAGTGTCCTCTGCTCACCAGCTTCTTTCATGATCCTGCTGCCCCTCAAGCTTAACATATTCAGATTTCCAATATCTTCACATCCTTGAACCTTGCCAGTGAATTTCATTGATCATTGTTAATCTCTCCTTCTATTCTTTCCCTCCTTCATTCCATTCCATTCCCTTTGGTTCCTTCAAACCATCTAAGCTTGCAGTGAGGTCTCCAGGAAAAGGAATGGTTACCACAACCAGTATGTCACACAGAGAGGAATGGCAAGGGAGGGGGGAAGAGTGTATTTCTCTTCATTTTCCACAATTCATTATATTTCTTAAGAAACAAAGTTCCTTACATGTACTAAGAGGGATTCTACAACATGGTTGCAAGAAATGCATAGAAATCTGATATTCTTGAGGGAGTGAGTATGTATGTGGGGTACATTATGATAAAATGATAGTCTTTTTTTCATCAGTTCCTCTGTTTCCAATAGTGAGGTGATAAGTGCTTCTGGTTATGTTGCCACATATTATTTTCTAAGGACACAGGAGGCAAGTATTAGCAGGTGTGGAAGAGCACCAGGAATTGCAGATTTTTTTTTTAATCTTTAAAAGTACTCCAAAAAACTCTCAGAGCACATAGAGCATGCTTCGTAATCAAGAAATGTTGAATACAAAGAAAGAAAGGGATATTGACAAACTGAGTAGAGGGGAAATGTACTATTGTGAAGGGGAGCATAGTTGACCCTACAAGAAATCTCTGAAGAACTATCAAAAATCCCTTTTTTAATGTTGAAATTTAACCTCTTCTACCAAACCCAGTAAATTTTGATAAAATCAGTAGATGTTGTGGGACATCATAGTTGTGATATATTTATGATATGTAATTATATTATATCATAAACTATATTGGGATTTTTGACAAAAGAAAAGTGTCCAATTAATAAATAAAACTCTGGCTGGCTCAGATTAAAATATCAGAAAAAACACAAAAGCAAACAATGATAATACCTATATAGCACATCAAACCAAATAAAAGAAAAGTGTCCAATTAATAAATAAAACTCTGGCTGGCAAAAGAAAAGTGTCCAATTAATAAATAAAACTCTGGCTGGCTCAGATTAAAATATCAGAAAAAACACAAAAGCAAACAATGATAATACCTATATAGCACATCAAACCAAATATATCCAAAAGGATTTCTTAATCAATGAGACTTTAAAACAACCTTAACTACTGGTAAAAATCTTTCAGGTATTTTTCTAAATTCTAAGGTACTCAAGACAGAGCTATGCACCAAAATAAGTACTTGCCCAACTCCAGATAGTACTTGGAAGGGAGACAGCCTGGGAATTCCAAGGGTTTAGGTTTGACAGGCATGTTGAAAAACATAATAGCCAACCACTTTCAGAGCACTGCCAAGAAAACTAGTCAGATGCAATCAAGAGAACTGAAACTTGAGTTCAGGGTGTCTACTTACTCTTATGCCTTTTACTTAGCCTTTTGCCCTTGCCTTCTAACAAGATGGAGACAAATAACAGAACCGTCATGTCAGACTTCATCCTCCTTGGCATCTCAAGCCAACAAGAATGGAACATATTGCTCTTTGCCATTTTCTTGACCATGTACGTGATCACAGTGCTGGGAAATCTTATCATCATTTTGGCCATCCGACTGGACAGTCATCTTCATACTCCAATGTACTACTTCCTTAGCAATCTATCACTGGTAGACATATGTTTCACATCAACTACTGTGCCCAAGATGTTGGCTGGTGAATTCTCTGGAAAGAGGAAGATCTCATATGGTGGATGCTTGTCTCAAATGTATTTCTTTATTGCTTTTGGCGTCACCGACAGCTTTCTCTTGGCATCTATGGCATTGGATCGCTATGTGGCCATCTGTCAACCCCTGCGCTATGCCACCATGATGAGAAAACAAATCTGCCTGTCATTGGTGGTGACTTCCTGGTTGGCTTCTCACCTCCATTCCCTCCTGCATACGCTCCTGATGTCCCGCCTCTCTTTTTGTGCCTCCAGTCATGTTCCCCACTTTTTTTGTGATGTCTTCCCACTGCTCAAAATCTCTTGCTCCAACACAGCTCTGAACACTCTGGTAGTACACTCAGAAGGTGCATTCATTGTCAATGGCGCCCTGATGGTCATTGGCCTTTCTTATGCACACATCCTGATGGCTGTACTGAGAGTTCCTTCTGCCAAGGGAAAGAAGAAGGCTTTCTCTACCTGTGGGTCCCACCTGACAGTGGTTTCCTTATTCTATGGCACTGTCATCTGGGTGTACTTCCAGCCCTCATCCAATTTCTCAGCTAAGACAGACACTCTGGCTGCCATCATGTACACAATGGTCACTCCCATGCTCAACCCCTTCATCTACACACTGAGGAACGACAGGATGAAGGAGGCCCTGAGGAAGCTATTCAGAAGGAAAGTAAACACCCAAGATATGTAGCCCTAATATTTTCAGTTCCCAGTTTGCGGGATGATTGTTTCTGCTCTGCCATTTATGTGGTCCAAAGAATCATCTTGAGACATTCTGCACATTGTAGTTCAGTTATTTATTTATTTAAAACATTTATATGACTGCTCAACTCAACCAAAGTGACACTGGGTAGCCATATAAATGTTTTAGATAAATAAATAACTGAAAACAAGAAAATGGTGATCCAAACAACAATAACACCATCATTCAATCAGAGCTCCAGCACAGCATGACCCAAACGCCTGGGGAATGAGCCACGTGTTGATAGCCTTTCTAGAGGCAGCAGGGACTAAAGGAAGCCTTGGTTCCACAAGTCCCATAGAAAGAGAAGAAGGGAAAATATTTTCAGGACTGCACATCGGCCTCCTTCTTGTGTGATCTTTTGAATCTGCTGTGCTTGGAGAGGGTAATTTTTCAGCCTGCTTTATTATTCACCATCTGTCCTTCAGGGATCAGCAGATTGATAATAATGTGGAGCAGCCTGTCTTAACAAAATGCCCACCAGATGCAATGGGACAGACTTCCCTAACTCTTAGCAAGTGTGGACAGACAGACAGAAAGACACCCCAGTGCCTTCAAAATATTGGAGATTTCAGTTCCAGTCTACTTCAGTCAGTCTAGCTAATGGCAAGAGATCGTGGGAGCAGCAATTTACATCCTGAGCTGAAATTGTGGGAGTTGAAATCCTGAATGTCTTGGGAAGTCCTGGCCTAGATATCCAAGCTTATCAGGATCTCCTACCTGTGGTAGGAGGAAAAGCAGCAGAGGCACTGTTTTTTTTTTTTTTTTGCAAAGAGTTGAAGGTAGAATCTAACCAGAGGGCATAGGCAGCCTATTACAGTGTTCTATAATCAAGCAACAGACTTGACTCTTACCAAAACCTTTCTAGGAAGCCTGCTCAGAAAGAGATTCCACTTTCCAGTGATCCAGCCCTGATTTGCCTCTTCAGACTTTATTTCTGATCACAGCTGTCACAAACTGTTATCTACATGAAAAGAAGTAAAAAAAATGAGGGGGGGGGGCTTCCTGTTCCCTTTTCTATTCCCAATTATAGCTGTATGAACAGAAGTTACTGTATTAATAAGGATAGTACAGTATTGTTGTGGAAACACATTGTGGACTTTCCCAACTTGGTATCTTCTGTATGCAATGGACTGCAATTCCTATAAATTATGCAACTCCATCATATCTGGAGGGGACCAGGTTAAACATTAAACACACATTATGTTTAAATTGACCTTAGATTGCACAGTTTTAGCAAAGATACCTAAATATTAAATAGTCAGATATACTAAATATAAAATTACTTGCAGCATAACTTCATGCATATTAAATCCAAACCAAATTCCTCAGGATTTTATTAGGAGTTCTTCCATATACATTCTCTATTATTTTCTATCAAAAACATTTTTTATTTTGTTTTTCCTTCTAGAAAATTAGCTATCCCACCCAGTTTGGTGTCATCAACACTCCCTACATCTTTTGATACAAATCATTAATTTAAATGTTGAAGAATACCATTCAAAGGGCCAGTCTCTGCAACATCTTGCAGGATAGCTTACTTCAGTCTGATGAATGAATAAATAACTTTATTATAGGTGACAGATCCAGCAAGCATATCAAGAGAAGAACAAGAAGCTAAACTACAGTAAAATGAAGTAAGATGAAGAAACCTGGATGAACATTCTGAGAATGGTTTCAAATGAATTGTCGATCCACCTAATCAACATGCGAGCCACCCTGTATTTAACTATTTTGCTGATAAGAGCATTGTACTTTGTCAAATGCCTTGCTGAAATCATGATAGAATATTACACCACATTACCAGAATCTACTAAGAAAGGTACTTAAAAAAAAAAAAGGAATAAGATTAAAGAAGGCCCAGGAGAAGACCCTTCTCTGCCATTGCCCCTGCCCTCTGGAATATTCTCCCCCCAGAGGTACAATGGGCCCCTGCGCTCCTGGCTTTCTGGAAAGACCTGGCTCTGTCAGCTTGCATGGGGCAAGAAGAGTTTTAACCAACCCTGGGGGTGGCTGGCGCCCTGATGATGCTCCCTGAGCCTAATACTCTCTAGTTACCATCAATCCTTGGAATATACTTATTATTTATTTAGGACT